AAGTTTGGGGCTATCCGGTTTTCCTCTGGCACTGCGGGGCATCTTTAGCTCCTTTTTTATTTTTAAATTCTTTGTGATGTGGTAGCATAGCAATGAAGTCAACAATTTCAAGATAACCACATTTTTAGGCAATAGACATTGTCATAAGTTCCATCAGTAACTGAAAATATTTCAAAGTATGAAAATAACATAGCTGTTGAAGACCTAGCTATAAAACAATATACAATAAAGCATCCACTCCTTTCATGCATCTCTCCACACATCCCCACATGTATTTTCTTCCACATCACCTCCCTAAATCATGCATCTTAGCACCCAGTACTGTTCTCAATCTCTATCCCGTTCGCCCGTATCCCATATGTTATCATACATCTCTCCATCCGTGAATTTGTAATTTCCTATTCGTATCCACACGTCACGCACTGTAACAATCATACCACTCTCCTACGTATTGATTGCCCTGCTGTTACATACTCCAAAATCCTAAACTGCCTAATAAAGAAAACAAGCCCTGTGTTCATTCACTAGGCTTGTGCTGCTCAGTAGAATGCTCATTGGTCTCAGCTAACAGAGTAGCCCTAAAATGTACCTGCCGTGGGTCTCATTTTCCCTTTCGCTTTCCCCAACTCACTCACACTTCTTATTCATTCCCCGTATCTCGTGAAAGGGCTATGGAGTAAAAATAGTGGGCATGAGGTGCTCGTCTCTCAGGAGCTAGATGTACAACAACTTTTGGTGAACTGCTGAATAAAATAAAAATTAAGGAAGAGAAACCGGAAAAATAAAAATTGATGGTCTGTAATGGGCTTGATTCTCAAAAGGACCTTAACTATGCCCGGTGGGTAAATGTGTGACCAACACTCCTATACACGTACATTCCTATTGAGGGTTCTGCAGTCGCGGTTTTCCCTTCGCCAGCTCCACGTCAGAGGTCCTCTCCTGTTCTAGATTAACACCAGCAGCCCTTGTGGCCTTGCTATTTCCCTGTACAGTCGATAAGAGATGAGATAGCTGAAGCTCTTTGGGTCCTCCTCAGCTGACAGCGAGAGAACATTGTCTCTGTGTGGTACCACTAGAGTACCAACCCCCACAGCGATACCTGACTCCGCGGTCTCATAGCTGACAGAATAAACCTTCTTTCTAACAGGGTTGAGAATGGCAAGTCATCATATACTTTGATGTGGAAATTATCCACGGTGGTAGTAAGTGCCTTTTCTCGATTGGGCAAGAATTGCCACTTTAACTGAAATGTCCCGGGTGATGGCAATAATGTCCCTGGGAGCATCCACAAGGGAAGCCGGGGCTTTCCTAATTCTGAATGCCGCTGTGATGGGCCATGTTTCGACAACTTCTTCCCCAAAACGTCATCACTTTTATGGTGAACTCTAGTAAGGCCTCTTGGCCCAAATCTTCAGGAGCTCCACAGACGTGCATATTTCTTTTACGGTGCCGTGCTACTAGCGTTGTCACAGTGCGGGTAAGTCACAGGACTTGGTGGGACAGTGTTTCCACTTTGGATCAGGTCTTTGTAAGTAGCGATTTTCTTTCCCCATCTTGGTTCTCCACTGCGCAAGGTGTGCTGTAATGCCAATCATCTCAGACCGCACATCGTCCAGATCCAACTTCCAGGCTTCCCGCAAATCGAGCAGTAGCTTTTGAATATCGCTCTTAGTGGAGGGTTAGTCATCGGAGTCGGAATCCTCTGTCTGGTACACTACGCTAGTGGCCCGTATGGTCGAAGAGCCCTCTTCATCTAGAGATGCCTCAGATTCACTGGAACCTCTGGGCCTACCAGGAACCATCTTAGGCTGTGTTGGCTGTTGCGGCCTTTCAAACTACCACCTATCAGGCAAATTGAAGCCCTCCAGGCAGGTTAATTTATTATGTTTTTGCCCCATCTCTCTATTGGTGGATTAGGGTTAGTAATCTGGTTTTCATGTCTTGTTGCTGCAAAATCGTGCCAATTTGGTGAATTTATAAGTGTGTTCAGCCGGAGCTGCACACTAGCACGTCTTGTTAGCTGCTCAGCTAGCTATGCCTCCTATGCTCCATCTTGTAGATGGCGATGTGGCACCATCATTGTAGGACTCACTTAGGGATATAATGACAGAGGCTGTGATAGTGTCTCTGTCTGTGTGTGTTGCTATCAGAGCCTGCCACAATGGCATACACCTCCTCTGCCATATAATAGTGTGCCATTTTAGGGATAATTTCATTAATTCTCCTACCTGCCTAATACACACTACCCACTCCCACCCAACAATTCCCACTTCCACCAAATCAAAAATGTTAACAAAATTACTAATCACAGATCAAACAGCTGTGACCAGCACTAACCCAAAAATCATAGCACTCTGATCACACGAATGCCGTACCATACAGCACAGATAATGCACAGTAATGATCAGGCAGCAGGAAAGGGGTAAAAAAATGTTTTTAAAACTGCTGCAGCTGACAAAATTTCTAAAGAAATATAAATAGCAACAAGGTGCTGATCACCTTAATAAGACTGATCACACAGTTAATGCTGTGATCAGCAGTGAAAGGGCTAAAAAAAAAAATTATTTTTTTATTTCCAAGACTTCAACAGTAGTACGGTTTAAATGATCCCCCTCTATCTCTTGCGTCAAAGTGAGGAGAAGAGAGAGGCAGAGACAAAATAACAGTGATCACCGCGATTGGCTACAGGGGTACTGCCTGGGTTACCAGGCTGGTCCCCCAAGTGTGATCTACAGCATGGGTAGCTAAGGGGAGGGCTAAAACGGCAGGGCATGCTTCAGCGTTTATAACTATATCGTGTGGAACGGCATAGCACGTCCTCCTTTAATGAACATTAAAACATTAAAAGAGTTGGTGGTCCTATTCTATTAATAGACTCCCTAGTCATCATATATAAATGGCTATAGAAAGCAGCATGGTTTAATGCATGCTCCCCAAGTGGGGCAAAGATTATTATAAAAGGCTGGGCATAAGCTTAAAAGGATTCTATAGTGCCAGGAAAACAAAGCTGTTTTTCTGGCAATATAGGTCACTCTAATAATAAGCACATTACATTTATTTGAATGGTTCCTGCCTTTTAACTTGCTAAAAATTTACTGATGGCCATTATTACAATTATTTATAATCATTGTCTGACTTGAAAATGAGACATTTGGCTCTTTGTGTATGTTCAGGTACCAAAGATCATTCGCGTACCGAGTCATCTTTTACTCATTATTTTATTATTTATATAGCGCCATAAGATTCCGTAGCGCTGCACGATGGGTACTCATGGCGCTTTGTTGTATGCTCCAGTACCGAGACATTTTTTACTCAAAATTTTTGTTCGAGTTCCGAATTCTTCGAGAGCGGGACCGTTCGAGTTCCGAGGTTCCACTGTATTTTGATGCACTTGCACAATGCTAATTGTGAGCAATTGTCAGATGCTGGACACTTATTTTTTATAAAGCACCAGCAAATTCCATAGCGCTGTACAATGGGTAGACTAACACACGTAATTGTAATCAGACATGTTGGACGCACAGGAACAGAGGGGTTGAGGGCCCTGCTCAATGAGCTTACATGCTAGAGGGAGTGGGGTAAAGAAAAGTATTCACTGAGGTCTTAGTTGGTTATTTTTGACCCTAGAGAACTAACCCAGATGGAAGTAAAAGCTAATGAAGCAGTTTTGATTTATAGATAAAGTCCCTGCAGTCTTGCAGTTCAATTCGCTGTTATTTTGGTGTTAAATCTCTAGGGCCCTCTTCAACCCTTCGTTTCTGTAAGTTTTCTTGTAATTGTCCTATTTATAGTCAAATCCCCCTCTAATAATATTGTAAAGCGCTACGGAATCTGTTGGCGCTATATAAATGGCAATAATAATAAATGCTCCTTATTGCAATGCATCGCTATGAGAAGACACTGATTGGTGCAGCATGTCGATTGTCTCGTATGCATACTAGTCCCATCAATGATAAATAACCATCTTCCTTGAAGTGGAAATCAATCAATAAATTGATTATTTTGTGTATCTGCCCCTGGCCAAATTAAAGAAACAGTGCGTGCACGCTCCCTGAAGTAATTCACACCAGACACAAGTTTCAGGTTGATGAAAAACTTGAGGAATGTTTATTCAAAGGGGACGGCAAGTCCCTTTTAAAGCAAAATTACATCATAAGCATTGTCAGAGATAACATGAAATAATACATCATTAATTGGTTAGGTGTTAAGTGGTTTTCTGAATGCTCTGCCTACAAGGGGTGATGTCACTGGGATCATGAGAGTCTCCCCCAGATTCCAGCGCCATCTTGTTACACAAGGTAGTTAGTCGATGTTGGGGCGGGGGGGAGAAAAGCTCTTAGCGGCCATTTTAACTAATCACATATCAGTAGAATAATGCTGATTACGGTTAGATGAGTAAATTGACATTTTACTAGCTACAAATTATGTAACTATCTCATTTCCACTTCCACAACATTCCTCCACACAACCATGGCCTTGAGTTCATATTTTTGAATAAGTTTTACAAAATTATTCAATACTTTTGGTTATACTTACAAATGTTTTTTTCTTAAAAAAAAGAAAAAAAAAAAAAGAAAAGAAACATCAAATATAAAAAAAAATGGAAAAAAATATAAAAATATTAAATAATTTTAACGCTTTATCTATAAATATTTTATAATTTCCAGAGCTCTCCCACACTCAGTAAATCCTACTAATAAAGCAGTTTTTGGAGAGCATGGTTTTCCCATTTCACAGTAAAAGGGGGTGTGGTCCTTATAAGGCTCCATGCTCCATACACCATCCTTACATCTCCTCCTCCTCCATGTTCCTGACCGCACTGTGAACAATAAGTGGAAACTCACAATAAGAAGTCAACTTTTCACCTCAGATCTTTTCGCGCCAGAACATTAAAAAGACATAAAACTGGCGCCAAACTCCCCAGCCCGCCTCACAGCATGCACATGGGAGGAGCCACGCGAGATATGCCGTGTGACCACGCCCCCTGTGGGCGGTGCCGGGACGTTTTGGCGCGGTTTTGGTTTGGCGGGAAGTAAGACCTGCGGCGGAGACTCAGTCAGTCAGTGAGTGTGTGACCTAGCCCGGTGTAATCTCAGCTCGCCATGGATCCTTTCAAGCTGCAGGTGAGTGAACGGCTGGCTGAGACCCGAGTTTGGCACACTGTGCCCGGGACACTGGGCGGGCGGCTGTTTATTCTCCACAATGACGGCCGGACTGTGACTGCTGTGACGCTCAGCCAGCCCGTCCTTTAATGGAGTGCTTCGGCTTACAGCAGCTCAGGGAGTCCACAGTTATTTGTATTATCTGCGGTCATTGGCCGTGTATACACTGCTGGTGGCATGGAGTGTGTGTATATAGTGTACACTGCTGGTGGCTGATGCGGGGGGGGAGTACACGCTGGTGGCTGATGCGGGGGGAGTGCTGGTGGCTGATGCGGGGAGTACACTGCTGGTGGCATGGAGTGTGTGTATATAGTGTACACTGCTGGTGGCTGCTGGTGGGGGAGTACACTGCTGGTGGCTGATGGGTGGGGAGTACACGGCTGGTGGCTAATGGGGGGAGTACACGGCTGGTGGCTGATGGGGGCAGGCTGGTGGCTGATGGGGAGCGCTGGTGGCTGATGGGGGGAGTACACTGCTGGTGGCTGATGGGGAGTACACTGCTGGTGGCTGATGGGGAGACACGGCTGGTGGCTGAGTACACGGCTGGTGGCTGATGGGAGCACGGCTGGTGGCTGATGGGGAGTACAGCCTGGCTAATGGGGGGAGTACACTAATCACGGCTAATGGGGGAGTACACGGCTGGGCTGATGGTGGAGTACACGGCTGATGGGGGAGTACACGGCTGGTGGCGAGCTGATGGGGAGGGGGATGGGGAGTACACGGCTGGTGGCTGATGGGGGGAGTACACGGCTGGTGATGGGGGAGACATGGCTGGTGGCTGATGGGGAGTACACGGCTGGTGGCTGATGGGGAGCACTGCAGGCTGGGGAGTGGGGGAGTACACGGCTGATGGGGAGTACACGTATTGATGGGGAGTACGGCGGCTGATGGGGAGCACGGCTGGTGGCTGGGGGGAGTACACGGCTGGTGGCTGATGGGGGAAGTACACGGCTGGTGGCTGATGGGGGTACACGGCTGGTGGCAGGGAGTGTGTGCCCTGGCTGGATTGGGAGTGCACACAGGTGGCCGATGCAGGGAATATATATAGTATACACATGTGGTGTGGTAATATACACTGAGTGTCCCACGTGGCGATCGTGCAGAGAAAGTTAAATGCTGCGGTCACGTGACGCCTAGGCCCGCCAAAGGTTCTGTGTATGCATGGCCTCCCTGCTACATGAAACCATTGCCCATGTGCCTGTATTTGGCTGGGTCTGAATTTGTCGGGTCACATCATGTGTGCTCACCTCGATCTGACAAAGTGCTTTGTGACTATTTGACCTTTTTTGGATCGATACAAAGAGGCCAGTCTCTAACTCGTGCTGTTCCCATATAACTATTAATAAGTGACCTAGATTCTAGTTATGGGAGGTTTTTTTTTGTTTGTGTTTTTAAATGGGGACATGTAATGCTCATGTGATAGAGCAGTGGTTCCCAACCCACCAGTACAGAAGTGTGATTCACTTTTATAACTTGGTTGCCAATGTCTATGTTCTCACTTCACCAATACCCAGCCCTATAAGACTCCTGAAAATATGAGTGGGCTACCTGCTTTGGTCACTGCATTTATCGGGATTAATGACAGTATTGAATGTACATAGACAATGATGGAAGTGAAAGGAATGTCCATAGAGAATAATGGAAACAAAATATTTAAATCAGAGGCAATTCGCAATTAGACATATGAAATAAATATTTTGTTGGCATACTCTCCAGGTTCAGTGTCAATTTTTAAGATTAAGTGGGATTATAATTGTTTTCTATAGAATGACAAGGGTGAATGACTAAAGAGAATGCTCATAGAGTATAATGGGAAGCAACAAACTAATTTGCTAGCAAATTAACCTTTACCATAGGTGTCCCCCAAGTACAGCAGCAGATTGTAACATTAAACGTAACTGGGATTATTATAGCCTTTGTCTATGGAATGATAGGTAAATGATACAATGGAATGCCCATAGAGTATAATGGGAAGCGATTTTAAAAACTGACACTGAACCTGGAGAGTATGCCTGCAAAAGATTTACTTGATATGTTTCACGGTTCTGATTCCAAGTCACGTATTGCTTCCCATTATACGTGGCATTCCATTGTATCATTCCTGTCATTCCATTGAAAAGAGCTATAATCCCAGTTACTTTTAATTTTACTATATGCTGCTGTACATGGGGAACACCTGTGGTAAAGATGAATTTGCTGTTTACCTGCAAATGAATGTGTTGCTTCTCATTATACTATATGGGCATTTTCTTTAGTCATTTACCCTTGTCATTCCATAGAAAACATTGATGATACCAATTGATTTTAAAAATTGACACTCAACTTGCAGAGTATGCCAACAAATGATTTTTCATATGCCTAATAGTTTTGCCTGTAATTGAAATATTTTGTTTTCATTATTCTCTATGGGCATTCCTTTCACTTCCATTATTTTCTATGGGCATTCCACTGCCTTGTTAAAGTCTATGGGCATTCCATACTGTCATTCCTTTTAGTATGTCTCCATTCATCAAAACATGCATAAATTAGTTATGCCTACTCATGGTATAGGTTTTAGGTCTATACAGATGTTGCTGTCATAAAAAAGAGCAAGGTAAATTTACAATCTCTCCCCAGCTGTTGCGTGATTCTTACCAAATGGTTGGGACATAAGGAAATGCATTTATGGATGAAATTATGAAGAGCACTACTAAATTGTGAGATGGTGTTCTGACTGGATTTAGTGAAGCCAATCACCCCTACAAATCCCTTCAAGGGAGCCTAACATATTTTTCCTATTCTTTTAGACCAGATCTTCTGCTAGACAAGCAGCCATGCGAGATGTCAAGGTGATCTTACAAGATGTATTGGCAGCTAAAAGAACTCAGAAATCACAAGTAAGTGTTTTTAAAATGTGTATATAATTGGGTCTTATAATTTAATTGGCCAGTCCATTTATCAACCTTTAACTTTAAGGACTAACAATCACTTTATATTTCTGTCCTTCTTATACATGTCGTCTTTCTATGAGAGATTATATTAAAACGGCAGTGTCATGTCTAACTTACCTTTCTACTACGGTTTCCTCTCAGAATCTGTTCTTTTCTTTAGTTTTGACCTAGTTTTCTTTTTACATAAAACGGGGCTACCTTGTCTTGTGTATTTTTCCTATGCTTGACCTTCTTTGACCAAATGATTGGTTTGTCAGCTCCATTTCCTGTTTCATAGATGGTACTCACCCTCCTCCTTGACACTTCAAATGGAGCTGACTAAAGCTCCTTTTTATTTTTATTTTTTGTCAAAGAAAGTAAAGCGTAGAAAAAAATACATAAGCGAAAGTAGTCCCTAAATTGTCTTTTGTTTTTAAAGAAAACTAGATGGGAAGAAAAGAACAGATTCTGTGAGAAGAAACTTAAGTTCACCGTGACAGTGCCACTTTAAAGTACTGGTCATGTTTCATTTTTAGAAGAGACCATATACTGTGAAGAACTTGTGAACTGTAATGTTAAAATACAAACTGTAAATGCAGTTGGGTATATCTGACATATGGCCAAAAATATAATTTTTACGTTCATTTTCTTAACTGCAGAAATGCAATGTTTCAGAAGAGAAAAATTTCCAAAAATTTAGAAACGTGAAAATCATTCCAATGGAAACATCGTCCTCTGATGACAGCTGTGATAGTTTTGGCTCTGATAATTTTGCAAACCAGGTAAGTACAGTTGAAAACTGTGTGGATATGTTTCCATCCTGGAAATACTGCTAACATGGTAGTCTTGATTAGAACTGCATGCTTTTGCTAACATTTCTATACAGCGGTTATGAATATACACCATCTCCTGTAATTTATTTTACTTTATGCTGGCTTTTCTAGGTAGTAATTGTTGGAAGCAGATTATCTACTTATTCTACCCTTTGAAATGTCACCTAACCTAAAATGCCTGATGATTGCTATAACAGCTCTTAAATGATTTGTAAACCTCAGCCATTTTCTTAGTAACAAAAGCTATTCTCTTGTAGTGCACTTGTAAATGTGATTTGCACTCTGAGCAGTTTGTGGAAAATTGCTCCTTTAAAAATATATATATATATTTTTTTTTTTTCCCCCACTCTCAGAAGAATAGGTTCAGAAAAGGCACCACTGAACAACTGGCTAAAATATTTTCTGAGGGTTCTGATAATGAATCGTTTTGCGGGTTTTCAGAGACTGAAATTCAGGACGTCATGGTGAGTCACATGTTTTTAGCTGTGAACATTGCAGTGGATTGACATTGAAAACGGTGAAGGAAAGAAAATCCCACATGGAGACAATCTGACCTGAATGGATTAAATAACTTAATGGGAAGTCTTTGCAAATATTAGTTATGAAACTTAGCAGAATTGAAAAGTCATATTTGCATGTCTGTCCAAAAGTTACTGAAAGGAATGTACATTCCTTTTTCCTCTTCTGCAAATGTGAATATCTTTCATAAAAAGGTCACAAAATAAGAAAATTTGTGCAAGTCAATATCAGGCTCAACACATGTGTTTATACTTGGCTTTGTGTTCATGTTGGCACCTGTCTGCTTAAAGGTTTTGTGGTTCATCAGACTTTCAGAACATATCATAATTTTATTTTAGAATGTTACAAGTTAGGATTGTTATAGTATTGTAAATCCAAAATCTGGTAGTGCAGAATGGCTTACGTGCCAGGCGTAATAGCATTGAAGATGGCTGTCCCTTTTTAACACTGTAGATTTTATGTAGTTGAAATCTTTTTCAACCTAAATCAAGCTTGTTTTATGTTCATAATTTAACATATATGTATGTGCATTTTTATTTTTATATATAATTTTTATTTTTTTATTTTTATTTTTACTTTAGAAAATTGATTCTGATTCTGAGGAACACATTGAAAAGAGTAAAACACGTCCAGGTCGGCCTAAGAGGAACACATCTCTAAGGGTAGCCTTGAAATTTCCACCAAAACGAAACCAAAGAAACACAAAAGTAAAGGATGAGAAGCATTCAACTGTAGATGGCTCTGATGATGAATCTGGCCCTAATTTCTTAGAGAAACGTGCTTTGAACATTAAAGAAAACAAAGAGATGGTAAGTGAAATTCTCTGCATCCAAATCTAAAACAATTAGTTAAGCTCCTTCTCTTTAACCCTTGATGGAGTAAAACGTATTTGCTGAGAGCTGCCTTTTTCTCCCTGTACATCTAGAAAAGAAACGTCACAATATGTAAATATGCAATTTTAGTGTTTTCTTTAACTTGGTATTTCTACAGTATATCATTCAGAACCTATCCTCCACTTCACCCATAGCCTCTTATGGTGGGTTTGTGTACTTTTGAGAGCATTCTTCATGGTATGACTGAGATGAAACTTTTTTATATATATATTTTTAGCTTGCAAAATTGATGGCTGAGCTGAACAATGTACCTGGGTTCTCATCAATGAAATCTCAATTTTCTCAATCTAATTCAGTAAGTCAAATATCACTTTTCTGATGTACTTAATTATACATTTATTTAAAAAAAAATAAAAAAATTAAATGTGCTTTAATCTTCTCTTTTAGAGAGTTAAACGTACTCCTAGGACTCACCAATCTGGAGCGAGTACCAGAAAAAATCCAGACCGAAACGCTCGCCCTTACACAAGATCAAGATCCCTTATTGATGGACCACCAAGCCCATCTCTAGATGAAGAGGATGATGACCCCTACTATTTAGTGAAGAGGAAGAGAATGTATGATGATGATTTGGAGGCAAGTGTTAAAGACTTAGAGCATATTGTGTGAATCTAGATTTATCTAGTCTACTTGCTTCACAGGACTTGTATGCTGTAAAGCAAAAATTGTGTTAAAAAAAAAAAAAAGTGGGCTCATTGCACAGGAATATTGACATGAAGTGCTGTTTTTGCAGATTTTTTTTTTTCTTTTTCTTAAAATTTCAATGTAGACTAACATAGAAAAAAATAGATCACTGTTCAGGCTGGATTGATCTTTTGGAATTTTATTTTGTAGGATGAAACTTATGTGCCCAGGAGGAGCCGCCCAAGTATGTCTATACCCCATGTTGTACGACCTGTAGAAGAAATCACAGAGGAAGAGCTTTGTCGCATCTGCTTCAATGTCAGGGAGAAGGTGTACAATAGATCAACGGTGAGTAAGATTTTATAGGGCAATGTAAAAACAAAGTGTGTCCTAATCAATAAAAAGCAACACAAGCATTTTAACAATTTAGTTTTGTGGACCAGCTTGAAAGACATTCAGCAATTTCCTTCCATTTGCATTACCACTTTGTGGGTTTGCAGGCTTGTATGGTGGCCTTCTCATTCCTTTTATTACACTTGCATGCAAAACAATCTTTCTGGGCATTAAATTTAATTTAAGGACCATAGGGATATATATATATATATATATATATATATATATATATATATATATATATATATATATATATATATATATATATATATATATATATACCGTATATACTCGTGTATAAGTCGATCTCATGTATAAGTCGAGTGCAGTTTTGTGACCAACAATTGTGAAATATGCTATGCCTCGTGGATAAGTCGAGGGTAAAACTTGGGGCTATGAAATTCTGTGATTTTTATAATTATATACACACACACTCATACAAACACACACTCTGCATTATATATACACACACTCATACAAACACACATTCTGCATTAGATACACACACACACTCATACAAACACACACTGCATTAGATACACACACTCTGTGTATATAATGCAGAGTGTGTATATAATGAAGAGTGTGTGTTTGTGTAGTGTGTGTGAACTGGGTGGGGGGAGGGCATTTTTATTATTTTTTTTAATTTTAATATTTTTTATTTTAATTTTTTTTGTCCCCCCTCCCTGCTTGTTAACCGGTCAGGGAGGGGGGCTATCTTAATCGCTGGTGGTCCAGTGGCATGGGCTGTGAAGTGGGGGGCCGGCAGGAAGCATTTACTTACCTTTCCTGCAGCTCCTGTCAGCTCCCTTCTCCTCCGTTCCGGTCAGCTCCACTGTAAGTCTCGCGGTCTGGTTGCCGCGCGGATTGTTGCCACGGCTCTGACGGCCGCGGCTCTCTAAGTTGCCATAATACAGACAGTGACTCGAGTATAAGTCGAGTGGGGGTTTTTAAGCACAAAAAATGTGCTGAAAAACTAGACTTATACTCGAGTATATACTGTAAGTTAGAAAAGGTGTTTGGTTTTTTTTCCATAATTTATTTAAAAAATTCATAGTAAGTTAGGCTATAAAAATAATCATCTTTAGAAAGACCTTTTAACGCTATATAACATGTGTGGGTACAGTAAACGAGTAAGAAGAAAATTACAGCTAAACACAGCAGAAATGTAAACAGCCCTGGTCCCAAACGGTAAGAAAATTCAAAAGCAGTCTGGTCACTAAGGGGTTAAGGAAGTGTGTGATCTTTGCCTTATTCATGCTTCCCTGGTCACCTTGTGGATAGCCAGGGACCCTCACTCAGTGGTAAACTGCTTGAAAAGGGTTTAATGCCGAATAGAGGAAGTGTGGCAGGGGACTCAGGGCACTGTAACTGATTTGTACATTAAAACCAATGGGCTTGAGACCTTCAGTATGGCTGGCATATTCTGTCCTATTTTGTATGCTTGGCCAAAGCAAAACACAAAGTGCTTGAAATTTTTTAAAGAATACTTTTGTATCTTTGATTCCAATAGGGCTCAACTTGTCATCAATGTCGTCAAAAGACTACAGACACTAAAACAAACTGTCGAAATCCAGAGTGTGTAGGAGTGAGAGGACAGTTCTGTGGCCCATGTTTAAAAAATCGCTACGGAGAGGATGTGAGAAATGCGTTACTAGATCCAGTAAGACTATTTTCTTGTATTAATAGTAATGATAAACCTTTTGTAATGTAAAGCAAACAGGAATGTTTAGCTGTTGTACCCTGACTTGTGTAATTTCTTATTTTTGTCTTTTTTTTTTTTTTTTCCTAGGAGTGGCTCTGTCCACCATGCAGAGGAATTTGCAATTGTAGTTTCTGTAGACAGCGCAATGGCCGCTGTGCTACTGGTGTACTGGTTTATCTTGCCAAATACCATGGATTTGACAATGTCCATGCCTATTTAAAAAGGTAGGTGTATGTTGGTTAATAGACACTGTTCGTGTATTCAAAGTTTCCATATTTTTAACTTTTTTTTTTTTTTCCCCTCTTTTCAGCTTGAAACGTGAACTTGAAAAGGAAGACTAAATATTTCAAAATATTCATTCAAACCCTTGAAATACACTTTTTATTGATGTTTTAACATCAGTTCACTGTGACAGAATGGTATTTAGAATATTCAGTTAAAGGGCTTTTCTTTTTCTCTTCAGTTGATGGCTCCCTAATTTGATATTCTTATGTTTGCCATATTTAAAGATACCAAATTAAGGTAGTGAATAATAGACCAGATTAGTAACTGATCATATTCAATTGGTTGCAAATGCAATTAATATTATTTGTTAAAATGACTGAATCACATGGAAGAATTGTGTCCTAATGCAATTCAGGACCTTTTTGATTTGGTCATCTGGTGATCCTACTGGTAAACTGCTGAATCGCCCAATTGTTGCCTGGATTGCTGTTCATCCAAATGCACAAGTTTTGGTTACTCAACTTTGTATCCTCTATTTTGAAATGAATATATACCTTTTTAAGTTTTTGTAATGCACCTTCTCTAAAGATGGGGTATTTGTAATGGTTAGCAAGCCTAACTGGGAATCCCAATTAAAAAGAAAATGTAAATATTTTATATATGTAAATCTGTTCTGCTTGTAGAAAATGTAACATAAAACATTGTATACAAATAAAAATTTGTAGAGTTCTTTCTGTAATCTGCTCAAAATGAGTTAACCTTTTTAAAGGGACATCCCAGGCACCCAGACCACTTCTGCCTATTGGAGTGGTCTGGGTGCCAACACCCACTACCCTTAACCCTGCAAGTGTAATTATTGCAGTTCTCATAAACTGCAATAATTACCTTGCAGGGTTAAGTCCTCCTCTAGTAGCTGTCTTATCAGACAGCCACTAGAGGGACTTCTGTGTTCTTAGAACACGAAAAGAGTGTTATACGATGCTGGACGTCCTCACGCTATGTGATAACCTCAGCGTCGCCAAAATCCCCATAGGAAAGCATTGAAAAATGCTTCCTTTAAGGAGGCCTAATGCGCATGTCGGCAGGAGAGTAGGCGGAGCCTGACCCAGCGCTGGTGATGGGTGGGGAGGGGCACACAGGGTCCTGCAGTGCCAGGAAAACCAATATGTATATCCGTTTAAATAACCATTGATCTGGTTACAAATCTTCTCTGATCCCTACGTAGTACCATGGTACTTAAATACGTAAAAATATATATATATATTTTTTTATTTTTTTTAGGTCTCTGAGATTATTTGTTCTAGTAACCATTTTTAGGATATTAATAACCTGTCATGCATCGAACATGGTATTTCTCTAGTTTCTAAAGACTTCCCTCCTTTGTACAACTTTTTGAGGCAATGTCGAGGCATTCTGGGAAATGCAGGTGCAACACTGACATACTTGGACTTTTCGTGCTTTGTTGATCTAAAGGTTGTGGGTTCACTTTCAATTTATACTTCCCATCCTCCCCCTTCCCCAGACTGTAATTGTTACTTTAAGTTGCTTGTACCTTAACTGTGTGTAAAACAATGCAAATTTTTATTCCGTTGTGTTCCCAGAGGAGTTCGCACAAACGCATTTTGATATTTTGCATGCAAATGTTTGGGGCCTAGAAGGGGTAGATTGTTATTAATATGTTAAGCCAAGTTTTATATAAATGCAAAGTAATGGTTTTTAAATAAAACTTAATGTTTTTTTTTAACACTTACTACCCTCACTGTTTGTTTGTGCAACATTTAAACCTCTTCCTTTTTCACTTTTTGATGAAATGTCTGCTACAAAGACAGCCTTCTTCTAGGAGAAACTCTGATACAAGCTAAATGCATACTGTTTTTCTAAAGGTTTTGTTCGTAATCTATTTTCAGACTTCATAATTAAAAAGGAAAAACTACTTACAGCTGGTTGTTTTTTCTGCAGGATGATATATAATATTCAAGTTTAGATAATGGCGGTTCCTGCAGAGTTTAAATCTTAACAGTGGTTGTTTGTCTGTGATTACATTTTTAGTTATTTAAACAGCTGCATACACGATGTGTTATCTTTAAAGACTATCAAATTTTATTTATTTCGTTTTTTTTTTATACTATTAGTGGTCTGTCTAGCAAAACCTGTAATCTATTTTTTATTTTTTTTTGCCTCCTTTTACGTTAGAAGTCCTGAATCTGTTTTTTTTTTTTTTGTTTGTTTGTTTGTTTGTTTTTTCTTTCCAAAGCTTGTAAAGCAATAACTGTATAGAATATGTAGAGTACAAATAATTAAACATTGTATCACCAAGAAATGGGTGAAGGGAGGTTTGAAAAGAGGGTGAATATGGGAATGTCGGCTTAAAAAAAAAAAAAAGCAAGAACCTCAATTCTTGGTGGTGGTTGCTTTTAAGTAGGTGATGGTCTAACCATAGCATTCAGGTAGTGACTCAAGAACATATCTACTACCCTGCAGGAAAGGTCTCCTTTTCACTAATCTCTATTGTCATGTGAATCCAGGCTGACATTGTTACCACAAATGGGGGGATTTAATTGCCTTAAATGGACACTATAGTCACCAGAACTACAGTTAATGTGGTGTCTTAACATGTGCGAGCAGCCATACAATATGGTGCCAGAACAGAAGTGTTTTGTTTTGTAAATCTTGTCTTTGTATGGTTTGATTGGGGTACCAAGATGAAAAAGGGTTATTCTAACTTAAACCAGATTGTATTTTTTTTTTTTTTTTTCCACATTACATGTCTCCCCAAAGAAAGCTACATTAAAACACACCAAGCAAATCTGCACCTGTAATCAAAAACCCTGTTCATATTGTGTAAATTCTTAAGTCAGTCCAAAATGTCCATGTCCAAAACATAGCAAAAGATGTCTGGCCATACAGGGTAAAACATGCGGCCTTTCTCAAGAAGGCTCTTTATTGTATTAAAACAGTGAAAGTCTAAGCCCAAACAAGTGTGCAAACTTGACATTTTTTTTTTTTTTTTTTTTTTTAAATGTCTAAAATATTAACATGATATATTGCAGAGAATAAGTTTACACACTTAATAGCAAAGCCACACCAGCAAGAATCCATTTTGAAGGTCTTTCCTTGGTCTTTAAGTGAAAAGCCCACACATATGTAGACCCTCGTAGTTTTGTCTTGTAAACTGGACATTCATACATGTTCCTTGTCTCTTGTCTGTCATTTGGTATTGCTCTCACAAAGATGACTGGCATGACTGGAGTTGGAGCTTTTAAACGAGCTTCTGCAATGTGACCATTCTGAACATCCCATCGTGCTCCTGTAATAAGCATATTAACACATTCTAAACCTCTAAAATGTAATTACCATGGATTTTCAGCACCTTGCTGTGTTAACCCCTTAAGGCCTGAGCTAAATGTACACGTTTTGATCAAAATAAAATGTAAACAAAACTTAGAATTTGACTTTGTTAAACCGTAATTCAACTCTTTCATATTAAGTGCACCCACACTTATTATATATCATTTTATTCAGGAGAAATAGGGCTTTTGATTTAACATCAAATATTTAGCTATGGAGGAGGTGGTGACTGGGTGCTTGGGAACCCTTGGCAGGGGGTGCTCTATTTCTTCAGTTAGGGAGACTTTAACCTACCTTATGCTAATATGGGGATTATACTGACCCTTATAGCAAATACATATTTTTACGTATTACAAGAAGGGAGCCGTGAGTTGTAGCTCCTTCCTCGTAATAAACTGAACGAAGACTGAATTAAAATTCGGTATTCATTCTTTGTGATTTATATACGTCTTTTTGACAAATGGACGAATAGCTGAAATTTGGACAAAAGCAAATGCCCAAGTCTACAACTGGGCACGTGCATGAATTTCACAGCACGAACTAGTGTGGTCAGATGAAGACCCTACGGTATGCGTAATCCAGGACCTATAAGATGGCAGCGCTTAGGACTTATGCAAAAAAGTGAAATGAAGACAATCGAATGAGTCAGAAGAGGCATTTATTAAAAGTTATGACTGCTGCTTTAAGGGTGTATTTAAAAAGAGCTTGCAAAAGCTGTATATTTCTTGTCTGCATCCTTTGCAAGTCCCCCCTTCTAACCCAGCAGACTTTCTGTGGCTGTTTTAAATACAGACTTCCCTATGCAGCTCAATGAGTTATTTGCAAGGCAGGTGCTCAGGGAAGTTGCTGCGTCATGAGTTTAGCTCTACTGAGCTTAACAAACCAGGAAGTAACAGGAGCAGTTTAATGACAGCCAGGGGAACGTAAAGTGCCAATTTCTATAAAAAAAAAAAAAAAAAAATCTGCACTTTTTGTAAGATGTAAAAATTATTCTCATGCAAAAAGCATTTCAGAAACCAAGTATTTTATGGATCCAGAGGGACTGGACCCTCTTAACTGCTGGGCAATAACATCTAAACATCAAAGTACATACCTGCAACAATCCCCCCGTAATCGCCTATTCACATTGGTTCAGGATTCTTTAAATAATGTCCTTGCTTCTCCATCATTACCGTGCCAAACATTTTTTTTTTGTTTAAGCTTAGGACTGATGGAAAATAAAATGTTCACACCTCTATAAACTGTGCGCACCATGTCAGTCAGCTTAGTGAACACATACAGAGAAGATATTAAACAATGTTTATATTTCTTCTCCTTATTTGCAATGTATAGTCTGGTTGTGCGTGGATTCTACTGGTCTGTGATGTCAATTTGCTAAATCTTAACTATTTTATTTAAAGTTTATAGTAATCTGAGATGTTCAGTGTTTCTTCAGTGGTGTAGTAGTTCGCTATTTAAAGCAGATCTATAGCTTTATAATTAGCAGTAATCCCTAAATAAGCTACTCGGAATGTGTTCTAAAGGAACTAATGGTCAAAGTTGAAACTGCTTTGTAATGATAAACGGCAGAGAATATGGATTTAATCAGAACAGATGCGACAAGTAAAGCAGTTTGGACTTCTGCTCATTCCTACCTTCCAGGTGCAGACCATATATATACGCCCCTTCCCTGGCGGGCTGTGAAAATTCCTCTTTGTACTTCTTCATGACATCTACAGTAAGGTGCATCTTATCCAGAGGCCATTCATTTTTATGTGCTAAGCTTTGCATGACAGCTGCAATAAATGAAACGTTTCTATAGGTAGTCCATTCATTTATGTACTGTATGTAAAAAAATACTTGTCTAGCAAGGAGATGTAGCAAAGTAGTCAGAACAATCAAACAAACTTTCCCCCAATTATGAAATTTAGAAGTAGATGCATTATGCTGATGCTAACTCTAATTTATATGCATATTTTCCAATCCATTATTTACATTAATGCATTGGAAAAAAAAAAAATGTAAAGATACCTTCTTACATCAGGTTTATTCATTTGCAAGAAATCCTAAGTGTTTGCAACTTCTACTGTCAGTTGTGGCCAAACACTCAAGTGGCTCGGCCATTGCTAATAAACTGCTGCCCAGCAGGAGTTTTTGGAATGTTTAGTTAAGCACAAGGAGGCTTCCGACTTCTGTGGAGCACTTCACCACAGTGACAGGGAGCCTCGGAACACAGAGGGGACCCAGGTAAGAGCAAAACGTTACTAAATGCTTTGCCCCATTACTGTGCAACTGGTCCAAGGTACTCATTGCATGATAAGCATGAGGGTCCCTTTAACTACTGGAAAATAATCTCTAAACCTCAAAGTATGTACTTGCAATATTTCATCCACCATAATCTCTTGCGGGTTGTTAAAACGTCTGGAGCAACCATTTAAAATGTATTATATATCATAGTGCCCTTTCAAAATATTGCTTTTTATATAGCATGGGGTCATACATACTGACAATGCTGTGGCCATCATCTTGGGTTTTCAAAACTAGAATTTCATTTGAAAAATGTATAACTGATTTAGTTTTTGTTTTAAAATCTATTAATGGAAAAGAAAACCTATTAAACAACATTAAATCACTTGACTTTGGAAAGGTCACATTGCAAATAGAGTGGAGTATAATATCCTTAATTTCAGCTGGTGATTTTATATATGTGCCACAATGAATTGGCTTCCTCGCCTTAATTACTATATCTAATATCCCGCCGTTCAATAAAATATGTATTTATCATTTGATAAATATATTCTAAAATAGCAAAACAGGCATTCAAGTATGATAAGCATGGAGAGAAATAATTGTTTATGGCACACAGCTTAAGCTGTTCTGGTAATCATGTTGAAAAATACAATATTTATTCATTAGATCAAATTTAATGAGGCCTCCTGGCAGTAATTATAAAAATTACTGTAGCAGTAAATTACTAATGAGTTGTGATGTGCCTCCTACCTGTGAGAAAGGACTGGGGGTTGAAAAAGCCTGATATCCAGACAACAGTTGGGAGAGAGAAATCCTGAATCCATGCGTCAAGTTCCCGACATCGAAGAAGTAGATCATTATACCTAAAGAACGAACACAAAATAACTTCTATTCAGTTGGGTTTCATTGTCGAGCAACAATTCGTTCAATAGTGCCACTCTCACCAATTGTTGGGTTCTGGACAAGACTTTTGTCCACACAAACACATGTATGATTAGCAACACGTTTAATAATAAGACAAACGCACACATACAGAATTAACCATGCATAATGTCCCATACACAACAACCTGACTAGTAACAATTTTCTACTAGGACACAGGCATAGCACACCCTGGCTCATAGACACTCATACATAGGCATACTTTGGCAAAAAGATACACATACATAGACACAAACTAACATTCCTGCAGACATTCACAGTTAATACATATAAAACATCCATAAACACACACTCTAACATAAAGAGACACACAAATACATAAACACACACAAACATCCATCTGTAGACACACGTACAAACTAATTTTAATTTGCCTGTCTATCCTTATGTTACTCAGGGAGAAAAGGAGAAGGGCACTAGGCTACCTCTGCTATGTAGTGCAGGGGAGCAGATGCTTTCC